TTATTGCACACACATACACACACGGACAGACATCCACTGCGGTCGGTATGGGACCCCACAAAAAAGCCAGCCAAAGGAAGCAAAACTATGAGTAAAATTTCAAACAGAAAACAGAGCACAATACAAAATAGTCAAACAGAGCACACGAAATACACGAGGAAAGGCACAACAAACTGAAATATTAATGAACAGAGGCATATCGCGCGACCTGCCGGCTAATGTATGAAAGTGTTCTTCTGTCGAGTATCCATATTCTCTATTGCACGTTGCGGTTTTCGAGTGTGCAACTTATGGCACCTCACATGGTGTATTTGAATTCGTTTCATGTGTGGTGTGGTGGAATATTAGGGTGAAGCTATTCAATAATCTCTTCACTCCCAAACCTATGAACCATGAACTATCATCCAATTTACCCTGATAGGTGATACATAGCAATGCCGAAGGTATCCGTTCTATTAGGGTCTATACGACGACGTGGACCTGCATAGGTAACATTTGTCATAAGCCATTACAATATTCAAATGCAAAACTTGAAAAAATAATCGGTGAATAGTGTAGCTAAAATCATCCAAATACCGAATATAGGAAGGTAATATTATATGGCGACTATACGAAGATGTGGACCTGTAGGCTGTAGTATCCATTACGAACTTAAAATACCAAATTTGAAAAATTCCGGTGAATAATGTCGCTAAAATCATCAAAATACCGAATATCGGGGGGTACCGTTATATAGGGACTGTACGAAAGCGTGGACCTGCACGGACAATTTTCAATCATAGGCTGTAGTACCCATTACGAACTTCAAATACCAAATTAGAAACAATTCCGATGAAAAATGTCACCAAAATCATCAAAATACCAAATATCGAGAGATACCGTTATATGGTGGGCTATACGAAGACGTGGACCTGCACGGACAATTTTCTGTCTAAGGCTATAGTATTAATTACGAACTTCAAACACCAAATTTGAAACAATTCCGGTGAATAATGTCGCTAAAATCATCAAAATACCGAATATCGAGAGGTGCCGTTGTATGGGGGCTATACGAAGGCGTGGACCTGCACAGACAATTTTCTGTCTTAGGCTGTATCATCGATTACGATCTTCAAATACCAAATTTAAAACAATTCCGGTGAAAAATGTCGCCAAAATCATCAAAATACCGAATATCGGGAGGTGCCGTTGTATGGGGGCTATACGAAGGCGTGGACCTGCACGGACAATTTTCTGTCTAAGGCTGTAGTATCCATTACGAACTTCAAATACCAAATTTGAAAAATTCCGGTGAATAATGTCGCTAAAATCATCAAAATACCGAATATCGGGGGTACCGTTATGAAGGGACTATACGAAAGCGTGGACCTGCACGGACAATTTTCTATTATAGGCTGTAGTATCCATTATAAACTTCAAACACCAAATTTGAAACAATTCCGGTTAATAATGTCGCCAAAATCATAAAAATACGAATATCTGGAGGAACCGATATATGGGGGCTATACGAAGGCGTGGACCTGCACGGACAATTTTCTGTTATAGGCTGTAGTATCCATTACGAACTTCAAACACCAAATTTGAAACAATTCCGGTGAATAATGTCGCTAAAATCATCAAAATACCAACTATCGGATTGTTCAACTACTGTACGAAAGCGTGGACCTGCACGGACAATTTTCAATCATAGGCTGTAGTACCCATTACGAACTTCAAATACCAAATTAGAAACAATTCCGATGAAAAATGTCACCAAAATCATCAAAATACCAAATATCGAGAGATACCGTTATATGGTGGGCTATACGAAGACGTGGACCTGCACGGACAATTTTCTGTCTAAGGCTATAGTATTAATTACGAACTTCAAACACCAAATTTGAAACAATTCCGGTGAATAATGTCGCTAAAATCATCAAAATACCGAATATCGAGAGGTGCCGTTGTATGGGGGCTATACGAAGGCGTGGACCTGCACAGACAATTTTCTGTCTTAGGCTGTATCATCGATTACGATCTTCAAATACCAAATTTAAAACAATTCCGGTGAAAAATGTCGCCAAAATCATCAAAATACCGAATATCGGGAGGTGCCGTTGTATGGGGGCTATACGAAGGCGTGGACCTGCACGGACAATTTTCTGTCTAAGGCTGTAGTATCCATTACGAACTTCAAATACCAAATTTGAAAAATTCCGGTGAATAATGTCGCTAAAATCATCAAAATACCGATAATACCATTATATGGGGGCTATACCAAAACGTGGACCTACATGTCCCATTTTCAATATCAAAAGTCCTGCAAACATAATATACATTTGAATACAATTTTATCAACCTTCATCATTTCGTTCGGAAGCTAGAGTGATTTCCACAGAAAGACAGACGGACGGACATCTCTAAATCGACATAGAATTTTATGCTGATCAAGAATATATATACTTTGTTGGGTCTAAAGTGTATATTTGGAGTTGTTACAAACGGAATGACAAACTATGGTGGAGGGTATAAAAATTAAAAGTAATAATAGATATCAAATTGCTTAAAATCAGAAAATACCAACAATTACTTATTTAATATTTATCTTCGCCTAAAAGTATGCTCAGCAATTTATATTTCTTACTCCAATTATCGTTCTGCTCAACTCAATATAACAGAGCAGGATCTTTTTTTTCGATATAATTATCTCATTTAACCGGAATTCATAATTTGTTTGCTTCCAAAACAAACTTTGCATTGATAGATTTGCTTGAAAATGTGTCCAATATTTTATGCTACATTAAAAAATTGTTCAACTACAACAAATCATATTTACTTACCAAATACATGATTTCAAATCCAATTTCTTATTTCTGCCAATCTGCATACATTTATTGGTGATAGACGATGTATTTTACGCTTAAATTATGACGAAAACCGAGGTAAACGCGATTTATTATGGTGGCCTTGACCGAATTCACATCGATGTTGTTGATGAAGCAACAACAAGCAGGATAATAAGGTCATCCACATCAGAGCAAAGATGCCGAATAACACACACGCACACACACACTTACACATAAAGCACGCTTAATTTTTTTTAGAACTTAACGCAATTAATTAGAAACTTATTTTTATAACTTTTTCTAAACCCGCTGCTGCTTTCAAAGGATGCTAATGGACAAAACAAACTTACCTTCTAACTAAATATTAATTCAATAGCAAACACTTGCACCATTGACACTCATATACTTTCCAAGGATCTACAACTTCACACTTTATTATTTGCACGCAAATATTTGTTTCAATCACAACTTATTTCGAATACCCAACACTAAACGAACACTCGAAAGTATTTTTTTCATTAAATTTAATCACAATTCCGCTTTTATTGCGAGTTTAAACTCCACGATTTATTTGAGATTGTTTTAAGGAACACAGACGGCGGCGTTAGCTATTTATTTTTACAATTCCTTTATGCTCCAAATTTGGGGGGCTTTTTTGTTATTGTTTTTTGCGCAAAAGAACATGTGTTACCAAATCAGGGTTGAAATTGCAAAGCGAACGAATTTTACTGGAAAAAGGATGAAAAGCTAAGAGTTGCCATGTTATAACAATTGTTTACTTTTAACGGTCAATTGGAATTTAAAAATATCTGAAACACCCGGTATTATTAAATGGCTTAAAAATAGCTATATATTCTACATCATAGAGAGATACGTTTTATTTTCCTTTTTTGTGCATAGACGCTTAAAAACGTAGGAATTATATTATAAGAAGAACTATATTGGTATTCTTGAGTGTGGTTAAATTAAAATTTTATAATTCCGCCTTCAATATGAGCGTACAGCTGCAAAGAAATTTAGATTTCTTTCCGATCAAATATTTTGTCAATTTCACGCCTTTTAGAAGGTATAAAAGTCAAGGAAAAATATAAACTAAAATAGAAGACTAAAATATTAGCCTCATAAATCATGTAAGGTCTGATTATATAATGGTTGAATTTTGTTTCTAAGTATGATTTTTCGACGTCAAGAACAGTTTGTTATGCTATAATACTGGCAGAAGATGATCCTCACAAATTTGTAATTTATTTCATTACAAGAAATTGTCAGGGAAAGATTGTGAAAATTTTGCCAACATTTTTCAGCCGGTTATTCTGGGGGTTTTCATCCTCAAAGACTGGCTTAAAATAAAACGTTCTTCGAGAACTAAACAGGAACTTGTGTGGATTTTTATACTATTCCATTGAAAATGAGGCTAAAATCATCAAAACACCCAATATCGGAGATATCTTGGACCTATATAAAAAATTCTCTTTCATGGGGTAAAGTATTCGCAGATAACTTATTGTGTATAATTTCAGACAATGCCGTTGAACAATGTGACTAAAATTATCAAAATACCGTGGACCTATATAAACAATTCTCCTTCATGGGGTGAAGTACTCAATGGGAACTCCAATTCCATTGAAAAACGTGGCTAAAATCTACAAAATAAACAATATCGGGGGTACTATTGTATGGGAGCTATACGATATCTTGAACCTATATAAACAATTCTCTCCCAGAGGCCAAAGTACTCAGGAAGAACTTGTTGTGTGAATTTTTAGACAATTCAATTGGAAAATGTGGATAAAATCATCAAAATACTTAAAATCGGGGATCCGGTTGTATGGGAGCTATATGATATCGTGAACCGATATAGCCCATCTTCGAACTTGAACTGTCTGCAGGCAAAAGACTGATCTGTGCAAAATTTTAGCTTCCTATTTTTATTCATTTTGACTGTAGCGTGATTACAAAAGTCGTACAGGGCTAAATTGTCTTAGAATTTTACGCTGATCAAGAATATGTGTACCTTGTTATGACCAAAATGATTATTTCGATTAATTACAAACGGAATGACGAACTTAATATAGCCATCATACTATGTGTGGTGTAGGTTATAAACAATATGAGGGAACACAGCGTAAAGGAACTCAATGGACTGATATATGTACGAACGATAAAGTCTGGGCTCGTCCCAGTGGTTCCTCTCACAGAATAGTTGCTTTGAACTAGTTTGTTTCTCAACGCTCTTCAAATATAAACATATTAGAAATTTAATTAAACAAATGGCTAAATTAGATGTCCAACCCGTTAAAAAACAAAAGGCCAAGAAGAGGAAAAACTCTTGTGTCGAACATGAAGATGAAGTAGCAAATAAAAGTTTAATATTGGAGAACACCACTCCTCATGATACAGAAGTTGTCACGGTCAACCATGAGCAAGGTAAACGCATACATACTATGTAAATAAAAAGAAAATGTGAAACTATTAATAAAACAATGGTCAAATTATGAATGAATATTATATATGTAATGTTTTTACAGGGGTTTCCAAGAAAACAAAAAAACGCAAAAACAAAGAAAAAGGTGCCGTCAAGGAGAAACGTTCAAAGTCGCATAAGACTGTTGACAGCGGTGAGGATGATGAACAACACGAGGTAGAGCAACATGATAATGACGAAGATAATGATGATGATGGAACAATAGAACCCACCTTAGAACAATTGAAAGAAAGTGAGAAACCCGAAAATACATTAGCCATAGTCACAGGTCGTCAAAAGAAAAAGCAAAAACATCAGAAACTTCTGGAGGCACAGAAAGAGCATTCCATGGAAAAGGAAAGGCAACGTAATGAAGAATATCTAAAAAAGTGGAAACATTGTCGTGAAGATTGGAAATTTGAAAAACTTCGACAAATATCCATACAACAGAGCATGTTCGATGAGAATATTTTAAGTACAGAATATTGGAATATTGCCTTGGAATATTTGGCTGGTAGCAAGGGTGCTGCCAAGGACAAAGTTATTAAAATGGCAAATGATGTTATCGATGAAGTCGATAAACAATGCGAAGCAAAGGAAACAGAAGAGGAACGACAACAGTTGGTTAATTCTGTAAAATATCAAAGAGCGCGAGATTTACTACAAATATTTGACTGATGCAATTAGATTGTAATTTGGAAAAATACCTGAAGTTAATAAAAATTTTAAAATATTCGACAATGTTATTAGAAATTATAAAAGAGGATTTATTTTCAAATTGCAGGGCATCTTGCTTTGTATGGACGGATAAAAAAACGTTTGATATCAGATGGACCAATATTAATTTTGCATCGCGCATAGACCACCAAATTTGGATAAGATCACTTTATATGTATTCCATCTGATACAATATTCCAATCATATTTCATATTAATACAATAGAACAGCCATATATATTCAAAATGAGCCATCCACTTATATTTGTACGATACGATCATTCTTTAAAATGTAGATCGTAGCCTTTCTATAACCTCCACCATACATCGTATGGAGGGTATATCAAGTTTGTCATTCCGTTTGTAACTCATCGAAATAATAATTTTAGACCCAACAAAGTGTATATATTCTTGATCAACGTAAAATTTTAAGACGATCTAGCCCTGTCCGTCTGTTGTAATCACGCTAGAGTCAAAACGAATTAAAATAGGAAGCTAAAATTTTGCACAGATCTGTCTTTTGTCTGCAGGCAAGTCAAATTCGAAGATGGGTTAAATCGGTCTATGATATCGTATATGTCCCATATAACGGTACCGCCCGATATTCGGTATTTTGATGATTGTAGCCAAATTATTCAATGAAATTGTCTTGAAATCCACAAAAGGAGTTCCTTGTACATTACATTATTTATATAGGTCCACGATGTTATATATCCCCTATATAATGGTTTCCCCTGATATTCGGTATTTTGATGATTTTAAATCAGAGTACACTGTGGCCTGTGTCGTTTTTCTGTCTTTTCCATCTCGTTATTTGGTTCCAACAAGATACCCACCATCTTGGGACATTAACTCCCATTGTTCGTTATCATTAATTTGCAAAAACCTCATTTCTAAACAAAACAATTCACTTAGACTAGTTTTATTCGTATATTAAACTAAGTAACTATATCGAATACCAGCCTGGTGTTCCAGGACGTTTCTTGTTGCGTTCCAAGAACTGCTTGAAACCTTGTTTTGTATCTTCCATGGCTTTCTCATCGGCCTTTTTGGCATCATCCTTCTTGGTAAACATTTCGGGGAATGTAAATTCCATTTCTTTGGGCTAAAATGAAGAATTGTAGAAAAATGTATGGAACCGGAAGAAATAGGAGAACATCCACTAGATATCTTACCAATGTTACATAAGCTATTTTCATATCATCATGTTTGGTCACATATCCATAGGTGACATCTCTCTTGGTCGCGCCCAAAGCAATGCGGGTACGCACATCCATAACGGGGACTTTATAAATCTTTTCCAAATAGTTTTTCACATCATGTTTGGTCATTTCCATGGACACGGAAAATGTAACAATGTTTTTGGGCTGGGGTTCACTGGGCCTGATGAGCTTCATCCAGAAATTGGGCAAGAAAACTCGCAGCTGGGGATTGCCGCGTTGATACAGGGGATACCAACGAGTTGACATGTTTGGTGGCGTTTATTTTATTTTAAAATTAATTTTTTAATTAATTGTTCAACTTTATGTTGTTCCGGATAAAGAATTCAAAGGAACTGTTCAATTAATGAAACCTTCAGAACTAGTTCCAGCCAATTGCACATTGTTGACAAATGAAAGAAGAGGCAACAAACCAAAACAGCTGATTTGTTTTCGGCAATGGAAAAAATAGTACTCACCGGTTGGCATACACAAATATGTAACTCTGTGTGCACGTGTAGTGAACAGCTGATGTTGTTGTCTTTTGGAAAATTAATTTGTTTGGATTTATGCTAGGAACACAATTGGAGCGAACGACGAATTTCGCCCTACGCGGCGACAAAATAAGCCGCGAAAATTCGTCGTATGGAACACAATACCGACGAAATTATAAAACAGCTGATGAAGTTGTTTACTTTTTGCTCATTTGTTGACTACAATGAATTATACAAGAACACATAATTCTTACGTTCTCTATTATAATTTCACTTATGTCCATCTTCCCTATTATAAATTCACTGATATCCATCTTCACTCAGGCGCAAGTACACAAATAAATAAACAAATTAATTATGTTTTTTTTTTTATACGAGTAACAGATAGTAGAGTGACCATAAAAAATTTTAAAGTAAAAAGTAACTTTATTTACTAAAACACATAAAATTCGTACAAGTATGGCCACCTTGTACTGCTTTGTTCGCCGTTCGCCGGCGTATGAAATAGAAATAAAGCTAATTGAGTTCGCGGCGACCGACGAAATTTTCGCCGGTGCCGTGATTGTGTGTATATGGAAAAATTCGTCGTTCGCTCCAATTGTGTTCCTAGCATTAGATAAAGGAAATCTTTTTAAAAACCTCGTTTTTGAATAAAAAACAACATGGTAAAACTGAAGAAGGCAAAATCGAAGGAAAAACGTCCGGTTAAATTGAGCCGCAAGGAAATTCGCAAACAAAAATCGGCGGAAAAGAAGGAAAACAAACGTATTTTCTTCTCGAGCAAAACGGATGGTAAAAAGCTGGTTGCTGAAGCTAAACAGCAGAAACAATTAAACAAAAAGGCCGCCGGTAACAAGAAAACGAAAACTAAAAAATCCAAGCCCACGGTAAATCCTGAGGATATACCACTGGAACAGCTATTGTCTGGTCATGTTGATTCCGACAATGATGAGTCCTTAGACTCGGACTTTTCGGATGAAGAAGTAGATGCATTGTTACCCAATTCTTTAAAAGTTAAACGAGCGGCAGAAGATGAGCCTAACAAACCACCCATTAAGAAGGCGAAGCCACAGACGTCTAATCGACCCAATATTGAAGACCAACATCGTCGCGAATTACAGCGGCAAAAGGAGTTAGAGTCTGCTTCGCGTAAGCAACGCATAAAACAGTTAAAAATAGAAAATGAGGAAGAAGATAAAATAATTGCAAAGTTGGAGAAAAAATTGGGTCTCAATAAAACCAAAAACAAAAATCGCTTGGTTAGAAAAATGTTCAATGACGGATTGGACTTTGCTTTGGAGTTGTGTCTTGATGACGATGAGGAGGAGGAAAAGAAACTTCTGAAGGAAAAACGTAAAGAGGAGTTAAAAAAACAAAACAAGGAACCATCATGGAGTGATGAAGAACAAGATGAGGAACGTTTTAATGCCATCTTTGGTAGTGGAGGTGAATCAGGCGAGTCAGATGATGGCCAAGGCTCCATTGATGGAAGCGACGTGGAGGATAATGATGATGTTGATGGGGAAGATGAAGACGAAGGAGATGAAGAATTTGACGATGATAACGAAGATGAGGATGGTAGTGAGGTGGAACAAGAAGACGGTGATGAGGAGGACAACGAAGAGCAATGTAAGTATCTAATAAAATTCTACAGCAAATTTATTTAAGAATGATTAAGACTTTAACATGTAACATTACCTCTTTCAGATAAGGAAGATATCTACGGCCGCAAACGTGACAAAGACGGTAATATTATCACAGAACCCACCAATGATGGCCCCCAGAAATATGTACCCCCACATCAGCGAGCTCTTTTAGCGGCTAAGAACGATGACAAACAAGCCCAAATTCTAGAACGGTTGAGGAAGCAATGCAAAGGTCTGCTAAATCGTTTGTCAGAGGCAAATCTGCACAAGATTTCTTCGGGAATTGAAGAGTTGTATATGAAAAATTCCCGCTTTAATATGAACGAAACCCTTAACAAGTTACTGCAGGAGGCTCTCGTTAGCAAAGTTATGAGCAATGAGCGGATGGTGCAAGAGCATATGGTCCTGCTTGCCTATTTACATGCTCATATTGGCAGTGAAATTGGTGCGCATTTCTTGCAAATGTTTATCGAACAGTTTGATGCCATCCTTAAGGACATTGATAATGTGCAGCAAGAGGATAAACGACTCAATAACGTTGTACTTCTATTGAGTTACATGTATGTCTTTAAAATATTTGAACATCGTTTGCTTTTGGAGATAATAGATCGATTGTCCGGTCAGCTGAATGAAAAGACCATAGAATGTCTGTTGCTTATATTCCAGTCGGTTGGTTTCAAACTAAGAAAAGATGATCCCTTGGCTTTTAAGCAAATGATGTTAAATGTTCAGTCGAAAATTGCTGCTTCTCCACTGGAGCTGAAAGAGAATCTGAGACTTAAATTTATGGTAGATATTCTGAATGCGGTGAAAAATAATAACATCAATAAAATACCCAGATTTGATCCTGAGCTACATGAAAATCTAAGGAAGAAACTTAAAGCAATGCTGAGAAACGATAAATATGTCATAACTCTAAATATTACCATGGAGGATCTGTTAAGAGCCGATACTGTGGGAAAATGGTGGGTTGTTGGTTCAGCCTGGACGGGAAATATAAATGAAATGGCTGCAGCACAAAAGAAACAAGAAAAGGGATGTGAAAATAGCAAATCGGAGAGATTTTCCGAACAACTACTCAAACTAGCCAAACAGCAAAAAATGAATACCGAAGAGCGACGAAATATTTTCTGCATAATCATGAGTGCCGATGATTTCATTGATGCATTTGAAAAGATTTTACATTTAGCAGTGAAAGATTTACGATCCATAGCCTATGTGATCATACATTGTTGTCTGAACGAGAAGGCGGCCAATCCATATTACGCTCATTTAGCCCTCAAGTTCTGTCATTACAATCGTAAATACCAACTGGCATTCCAGTTTGCTTCCTGGGATCGCATTAACGAAATCGATTCGTTAAATAAAATACAGGTTAGAAATTTGGCACGTTTCTTGCAACACCTGATCCTGAACAACGGTTTGCAGTTGGCGGTATTGAAAATTATTGATTTCCTGCAAATTGACAAACAAAGCTTTGCCTTAATGAAGGAGATCTGTAAGGGCTTATTGCTAGCCGCCGAAGAACAGGATATTTATCAAGCATTCGAGAGATTGGCCAAAAATAATAAATTACGACAATTCAAGCAGAGCTTAAGACTTTTCCTGCAACATTTTATGCTAAAAGAACAGAGTGCAACACTGAAACTGTCCGACGAACAAATGGAATTGCTTAAAAGACGTGTGGAATATGTGGATAGATTATTGGCCTATGTAGAATTGTAAATATGTAGATATGGTTATGTTTAGAATAAATGTTTTTATAAAAACAATGAAATGAAGCATTTCTTTTTTGAGAGAGATTAATTTATTACTCTATTCCAGAAACTGAAAGAATCTAATGACCCTACCATTATTTTTGATATCATAAAGGAGAAGTCGGTTATTATGGTGACATTTTTACATAATTCTAGGTCCTGGAACAGAGAAAGATACTCACAATGTCTGTGATTGCTTCAGAAACGAATAAAGAGGATTATTAATTTGATTCTAATAATTCTTACGTTTTATGTTTTATAAAAACAAAAGTATCATATCTTTTCCAACAGATCAACAATTTAATAAGCATTTTTGGTCGACATACAGAGGATTTCATTCACGGTTAAATATGATTTTAAAAGCTACACATATTATTTTAACATTTTTATACTCCAAAGTTAAGAGCTACTGTTGTTTATCGTGTGGCGCACACGTTACTGTTGTTCCATAAAATGTATTTACTTATTTTCTTCAACAGTTTTCTCTATCCAGGCCCGCAATTTATCAGTGTCTTGTAAACCAACCATGCGGTTAACTACTTTACCACCTTTCATAGCCATCAATACGGGCACGGCTGCAACATCGTAATCCAAAGCCAACTCGCTGTGTTCATCGATATCAACTTTTGCCAATTTAACAGCTCCAGCCTTTTCGCCAACAATGGATTCAATGCGTGGTGTCAACATTTTGCATGGATTACACCATCTGCAATCAAGTAAACGAAATTCGATTAAAACGTAGGAAACTTATATAACTCTAAAAGATGCTGGGGGCATCTACCACATTGTACACTTACGTTGCAAAGAAATCGACAATTACAACCTTATCACTCTTCTTGACTTTGTTTTCGAAATCTTCAATGCTTTGAACTTTGAAAATCTCATTTTTGACGGTGGTGCTGCCGAAATGTCTTGTGGCCAAACGTGTTGTGGTCAATGATTGTCCGGCTTTTTGTACAATGCTGCGCAACATTTTTGAATTTATTTGTATCTAAAATATAATGTGAGTATAATAAAATGATATAATTAAATCAAAATAGGTCTTATAGAACGTATAAAAAACGTACCTTCTTTACCCAATTTTTAGGCACCAACAGATCGAAAAAGAAGGCCTTCAGGGCTTAGGAGGTCGAAAGCCAGATATGAGCTGAAGTTCACAGAGTTCACCAGATCGAAAACAGGAATTCCTTGCAGGGTTTTAAAAATCGGCCCATCTAAACATAAACAGCTGTTTATATATAATACTAGAGATAATTATTGCTCTTTTTGCCAATCACTGAACATACACCACTTCGCAACAGCTGAGTGTATGAAGTCATTTCATTGCGGGTGTTCACATTTGATTATTTACGGATAAAGTCCAAAAATGTAATAAATCCAAATGGTCTGTTCCTGAACCTTCAAGAAAGCATAGTATCATGGCGCTGTTATAAAGGTGAGGGTACATAAGCAGCTTAGCATCATGGCTAGGCATATTAACGCCAAATTATAATGGGAAACTACTTCAGGATTCGAGTGCGGTTCTGACATACCTGTATGATATGTAATAAAATATGCTATGCGAAGACTTCAAGCTGTTTATTATTACAAATAACACCAGCTGATATCTACAAAAAAAATTTTTTTTATTAATTGTGTTCGTAGATGGTCGATATCGACAGACACCTTCTGCAACCTCCCACACAATGAATTAAAATCAATAAAGTAATAGCATTAATACATATGAAACATTCGGGGTACTAATGGTACAATGAAAAGGTAAGGTAGAGCTACCAACTGATTACAATTTTTTATTGTTTTGAAAAATAACAACATAATTTCAAAATCATGCAGTTTTTTGGATTATATTTCTGAAAGAAAAATCTTTTAAATCCCCATTTTGAAATTAAGGAAAAATATCAAATCATTAAAAACAACTTTTTGCATCTTGACAGAATAATGCAGGTGTGTGTAGGTGTTGTTGTACAACAATCGTAACAACAACAACATACAAATTTGTTTTTGTACGTAATACATGTGTCAGAGTTATGTGTCCAAGAATGTAAACAAAATAATTAATTTTCAATAAACTTATCAGTAATAATTATACAATGCAAAAATATGTGGGCAGACCGACGGGCGGACGGACATATCACCGATTTTTCTTTTATGGTATTGTGAAAAATTAAGAAAACTGTAGATTTTTGAAGGATTTGGAATAGAGCTATTTTTTTCGATGGTGACCGACACCTAAGCGCAATTAAGTTTTTCTTCTTTTAATAGCTTTTAAATAGTTTTCGGGGGCATCTGCATGCTTTTTAAATTTCATAAGTTTTATTTTTGTGCATTAGAACAGGTTCCAAACATGATGCACTACTCGGAAGGGCACGACTTCCAATGTGATCTCATTTTGTTGGCATGTTGCTTTGCACGGAATATATATTGCAGCTTATAACCATAGACAACTTCGTGAAGAATCACGGTAACCAAGATTCTACTCTCCTTTCAATATTATTATTATTATTACCTTAAAAAAGTTGCAGACACAGACATTCACCATTAGTTACCATCTGAATTAAAGCAACATAGATTATCAGGACAACTGAAGAAAGATATTTACAAATTTTTACAAAAGTTGGTGTATGTCACTATAAATAATTTTGACAGGAAGCGGGCATTTCTGTCGAGTTTTTTTTTGGTTGTTGTTTCAAATCTGTTGTACCTCCGTATTATACCATAGCTTTAGCTTCTTGAGCCAGTAAAATCCTTCCATCACATGGAACCACTTCCATTACACTTTGCTGGGACTAGGTGTGACTGGTTACTTCTCCTGCAGGAATTGTCCAACAGCAATTACAATTGTTTAATTGCATGATCTGGTAAAGTCAAAGTCATTTTTCGAGAAAAGCATTTAATTTTAATGAGATGTTAAAAGAATAATGAAAAAAATGTAAACATATGATTGCATGACTTCAACTTCTTAATTCTACCCATGGTAGAAGAACATAGGTAGATGCATTCACGCTTGGGAACATTGATATGTCAAATCTTTTAAAATGTTTTGTCAAGAATTAGTAGATTTTTATATGTTTTTTAAATCGAAGCTAACTAGAGTTTGTTAGAACGTGCATTTTTCATGTATTTTTACAAATTTCAATAATTTTTCATTCAACATTTAATTTAAAAAACCGGTTTGGCAGTTCATTGTCCCAGCAACTGTGTCGATGCGACTACCTGTATTCTTCTACCATAATGGAACAACTTCAATTACATATTTTGCTGGGACTTTTTTAAAATATTAAAAAACGTGCAGGTGGCAACATTGATTATGTGTGAATTAGCGCCATCTATATTATTACCTTAAATGTCATTGTGTAGCAAAATGCATATGTCAAAGAAATTACGCAAATTTAAAGAATCCAGTAAATAAATAGGTAGTACGGCAGTAAATATGCATTAATAAATTCCTTTTAACATAATATTAAATTCTAACGATGACATCGTGCAATTAGAATGTGAATGAACTGCAATGAATTGTTTGTTTTGTGCGTTTGACGCAGGTGACAGTTCGTGAAAGAAAAAAAAAAAACAAAAGCAATAACTGAGAATCAAAACAGCTGCTATCGAGCGAAATTGACGTGTTGCAATTGTTTAATTGCTAGCTCGGTAAAGTCGAAGTACATTTTTTCGAGAAAAAGTTTTTAATATTTTTTTGGAGGAAAAACGCGTAAAAAATTGCTGTGAATTCGTTGATAGCTTTTTGGATAAACCATATCCATGTTGCTACCAATGTTGTAGAGAACAGATTATAGACATCTGCTTCATTACAAATACACAATGGACGATTTATCTCAAGGCGACATTTGTCGCGTTTGCCGTTGTGAAGCCTCGTCGGATCGTCCTCTGTTCTACCCATGTGTTTGCACGGGCAGTATAAAATACATACACCAGGATTGCCTGATGCAGTGGATGCGCTATTCACACAAGGAATACTGTGAACTATGCGGCCATCGATTTAGCTTCCAACCCATCTACTCGCCTGATATGCCACGGGTCTTGCCGTTGCGAGATGTTGCTGGAGGTTTGTTGTCGGCCATAATGAAAGCGGCAAAATCTTGGGCCCACTACTCCCTTGTGGGTTTGGCTTGGTTTGTGGTAGTGCCGTTGTCTGCATATCGGACATATCGCTATTTGTTCCGAGCATCGTCATTTGATATGATATTGTCCTTGCCTTTCGATATTTTTTCAACGGAAAATCTGGCTTCAGATGTATTTCGAGGCTGCTTTGTAGTGACGTGCACACTGTTATCGTTTATTGGATTGGTGTGGTTGCGAGAGCAGATATTGCTGGGAGGTGGACCGGATTGGTTGGAAAGGGATGATGCTCCTGGAGCAGGGGCAAACAATGATGCTGACGATGAGGTAGAACTGAATCTTCCGCCGGATGGAGGTGGAGCTAATGCTAATGCAGGAGATGAGGGACAGGACAATGTGGCAAATGCTCAAATAGAAGGCAATGGGGCTTCAGCTGTCCCAGCGGAAGCGGCAGCGGAGGGAGATGTTGCTAATAACAACAATGACATCGCAGATGGGAGGGTAAATAATGCTGAGGCGCCACCTGTAGTAGAGCCTATGAACAATAATGCTCCTGCGGTTGCTGATCCAGTTGAAAACGAGGGTGACCCTCCTTTGGAGTTTGGTCCCCAGCTGCCTCCTGCTCTGGCTGCAAATCGTAATAACAACAATAATGCTGCTAACCCCGCCGAAAACGACAATGATGAACCCAATTGGAATCCAATGGAATGGGATCGAGCAGCGGAGGAATTGACTTGGGAACGTTTATTGGGTTTGGATGGATCCTTGGTGTTCTTGGAACATGTGTTTTGGATTGTCTCCCTCAATACAATGCTAATATTTGCCTTTGCTTTTTGTCCATATTGTATTGGCCACTTTATATTAAGTTCACTAGATCTCATGGACCCGGAGAAGCCACTATTACATTTCCATGGTTTAATAACAACTTTATTTGGCTATTGTTTCATTGGCATTATATTGGTCGTTTTGCATTGTCTGGCAAGGGCATTCCATATGCGAAGAGTACGCAGTCTTATTGGTTTGTGTTACATTGTGGTAAAGGTGTCACTGCTCTCAGTGGTGGAGATTGGTGTTTTACCATTGGTATGTGGATGGTGGTTGGATATATGCTCATTGCCTCTATTCGATGCTACGTAAGTACGGAATAGTTCGAAATGAAATTTAATAATAAATAGACTTATATTTTAGGTTAAAGGATCGCAAGACTAGCTTTACAGCTGCACCTGGAACATCTCTATTCGTTCATTGGATGTTTGGTATGGTGTTTGTGTATTATTTTGCCGCCTTCATTTCATTACTGCGAGAAGTTCTTCGTCCTGGAGTATTGTGGTTTTTGAGGAATTTAAATGATCCGGACTTTAGTCCCATTCAAGTTAGTAACTTATAAATACTTTATTTTTTATTTTTATTAAATTTTCTTTTTTTTTTTGAATTTCAGGAAATGATACATTTACCCATTCTAAAACATGTTCGACGTCTAATATCATCTGCCATGATATTTGGATCGGTGGTATTGTTGATGCTGTGGATACCGATACGTGTACTAAAGACAATTTGGCCGACGTTTTTGCCATACACTTTATCCGGCGATTCAGATGTCAATGAATTGAGTTTGCAGTTGCTTTTACTGCAGGTAGGTTCAGTAGATTAATATTATATACAAATAATTCTCTCGAAGCATGCCCAAAAATATTTACAAGCTAAATTCATTTGGCATAACAAGACCAATCTTATTTAATAAGATCTCTCATGGATAAACATTTTAGCGATTGAATATAAATTTTGAGATTTTTTTTGCAAATATGTTATGGTATACCCTCTCTAAATAAATTATAGGCTTCATATATATAGGCTTTGAATATTGTTCTGCGGCAGATTTAATTTAAATACATATAACATATGCTGGGTGAGATGAAAAAATTGCAACAAACTTCAAATTGCTGTCATTTCTAAGCCACTCGTCTGACAGCTGTTAAAATTATTCCAGTGACAGCTCATTATATTGTTTACAAGCGTACAAAAACATTTTGGTGAGAATTTTGCAGAAAAAAGTTATTCGTGATGGAATTCAAGCGTGATTTCTTTATATTTGGCTGGAAAACCACAAGTGGCTATCGTTATAGCACTCCAGCATTTAAATGTGAATAAATCTTTTGTGTTGTGTTAATGGTAGCGACGTCAAGGAAGTGGACGGAAGAAAACAGCAACCTCAGCACAAAAGGTTTGAAAAGTAAAGAAGCGACTTGATCTGAACCCGCGTCGCAGTGTCCGAAAAATGGCTCGTGAGCCGAACGTATCGCAATAGTTCATTCGGCAAATGTTGACAATGATCTCGGGGTAAATCCATTGAAATTCCAAAAAGAGCAAGAACTTACACTGCAACGGAAAGAAAATAGACTCAAAAGAGCTAAAGAGTTGCTTCGCTTGGCCGAGAGTGGAGAACTGCCGCCTGTCAGCAGTTTGTAAACAAACAAAATGATCGTGTTTACTTGCCAAAGAGGTCAGCTGAAAATGTACACATTCGGTTGGCCACCAGAACTCAAACGCCGGCCATGGTGATGGTTGACAAATGAGCTCGGGGTAAAGCCATTAAAATTCCCCGAAGAGCAAGAACTTACACCGCAAAAGAAAGAAAATAGACTCAAAAGAGCTAAAAAGTTGCTTCGCTTGGCTGAAAGTGGAGAACTGCCGTCTCTCAGCAGTTTGTAAACAAACAAAATGATCGTGTTTACTTGCCAAAGAGGTCAGCTGAAAATGTACACCTTCGTTTGGCCACCAGAACTCAAACGCCGGCCATGGTGATGGTGTGGGCCGCCATAAAAGCCGATGGTCCTCTCCGCTAATCTTAGTCGACCGTGGCATCAGAATAAATGCCGAGTATTATTGCGAAAATATTCTGGAGGGAGTGTAAAAACCTTGGGCAGACAAACATTTAGGCCAGACCTTGGACATTCCAACAGAACTCAGCCACCAAAATCTCCGGATACCAATCCGTTGGACTATTGTGTCTGGAATATTTTGAAATGCAAGGTTGGCAATAAAAAATACCAAAGTGTCGATCACCTCAAGCAAGCGCTTCGCTGGGAAAATACCGCGGGCAGCGTGTTGCGGTTTCATTGGCCGTTTGAAGGCCATAATTCGTGCCGAAGGTGACCAATACCAACAAATCTAAACTTATTCCAAAATTTGATGCTATTTCCGAATTTTTTGCTTTCATTTAATAAAACTTAAAAAAATGTAAAAATTATGGCGTTTGAATTTGTTGCAGTTTTTTTATCTCACCATGTATATAAATTGCAAATTTTATTTTACCGTAACATTATTACCTTTATTTCTTTTTTTTCTAGATCGTTCTCCCTGGATTCTTCGAACAGTCCCACACTCGCGTTTGGCTTAAGAAACTCCTACGAATTTGGTGTATTTGTGTCTCCTGGGTATTGGGCATTCGTAGCTATCTACTTGGCGCTGATCCGGAACCTGCGAATGTAGAAAATGCTAACAACAACGATGCCAACAATCTGGAACCACAACCGGCCAATGAAATTGTTGCTAACGATGAACCAAATGCTGAAAATGCCGCGCAAAATAATGCCGAAGATAATAATGTTGCCGAAGAGCCTGCTCCTGTACAACCACCCATACAAGCACAACCGCCTCCTCCACCACCTCCGCCGCCGCCACAAGCCGAACGAAATTTGGCTGCAGTACATCACGCCATTATACACCGAGATGTGCCTGTTGCGTTCCAACCGTACGACAAACCAACAGTGTTTCCTCTAAGACTGTGCGGACTATTATTCTTTATGTGTATTTCATTGGTGATAGCATCATTGGTAACACTCACAGTGCCCGTATGGATAGGACGACAGGTGATGTCACTATGGTCTGTGGGTAGCATAACAACACAAGTGGCCGTCCAGGGTGCTGAAGTAACGCCACGTCCACATGAATTATATACTGCCGCCTTGGGTACTTATCTTTGTTGGATGCTGACCAGGGGTATAGCCATTGCCGTAACCCTATTACCTCAAGGACGTGCTGCCGTAATGGATAAAATTAAGCAATGGCTTAAAGTGGGGGCATCGTATGCCCTACCCGTCTTGATTATTGTTCTAATGCTGGGTGTTATTCCGCTCTTATTCGGCATGCTTTTGGAATTGGTGGTGGTGATACCGGTACGTGTTGGTGTTTTACAAACTCCCATCTACTTTATATGGCAAGACTGGGCCTTGGGTGTATTGTATACGAAAATTGCCATAGCTTTGACGCTAATGGGTCCCGATTGGCATTTGAAACGGGCACTAGAACGAGCATATCGTGATGGTTTGAGGGAAATTGATTTAAAGTTTTTGATTACCGAACTTGCAATGCCTGTTATCACATGTTTTGGCCTAGCCCTTGCCATACCCTACGTTCTGGCTCACTCAATTTTACCAATATTCTTTACCGACCCTTGGGTACAATTGGAAATAGCTCATTTTGTTTATCCAGTATTCTTTTCGGTTATTGGCGCCATTGCATTAATTTATTTCCAAATAAGACAATTTAAAAAACTTTATGTAGCAATTAAGGTGGACAAATATTTGGTGGGTCAACGTTTGGTTAACTACGAACATCGCAAGAAACAGCAAGAGGCTGCCGAAGAAAGAGCAGCACGACAAAAAGAGGAGGAGGAACAGGAACATGTACCCATTGCCAATATTGTGGAGCAGGCGGAATTGGAAAGGAGACGACGACAGGAAGTTGAAAGGCAACAGTTGGTACAGGATTTGGTGAGAGATGATCTATTATAAATTCAGTTTCGGTGTCACACATTCGATGTAATTGTCGTCTAGAAAATCTTACTGAAATGTAGTTTAAAATTCAATTATCCAAAAACCATTACGAAATTCTTTCAACACCCTGCGTCAAGGCTGATGAAATGTTATGAGTTCGTTTGTTCGTTTCTTTGTCCCGAATCGAGAATAAGATGTGTTATTACTTTTTAAAATAATTAAAATTTAGGACTTTTATAATTGTATGTTAAAGAAGCATGTGTAACCAACCAATAACACATTGTTGTATGAAAATGAAACAGAAGTATAATTATGCTGAAATCAAGGATTAACATCCATTTTAAAGATATAAATACCACTCAACTGTTTTCTCTTAAATTCCACAAATCAATATAAACACATATGTATGTATGAATTTATGTACCCCGCCCATATGCACGTATTACATAAAATAACAACGGAAATATTAAAAAAAAAGGTATTTAGCATTAATGAAAACGACATTACTTTTCGTTACATAACGTCAATGCTTTCATAACGAAGTCTAAAATTAAATTTAACTGCAATCCGATGTGAAGGTCAAAATCATGCTCTAAACACAAAACAAAACTTTGTCACCGGCAAATTGCCATTCCACATTTGAGTTTCCATGATCGGTTTTCTATTTCATTTCTTTTTTTTTTTGGGTATTATTCTCCTTTTCTATCACCCACTGAACTATTTTATTTTTGTTGATAAATATATAGAAATATGATATGGTTTTTTTATTATAATTTAAAATTGAATAAAACTAATTTTAAAAAGCGCCCATGGTTTTAACTTTTATTTTAAGGTGTTTGTTTTTTTTATTGTTTCACAATTCTAGTAAATTAAAGGAAAACATTTTCATTAATATAGATCTGTAATTTTAAGTTTCATCTGAAATCATCCAACACATATTTGCTTCATTTACCCTTATTAATGAAATGAACCTTGTATTGTATATTTGTTCGTATCCTGATCGAAATTTGACATACAGATTTTATTTAAATATTAATTTTTAAGCTTTTAGAATAAAACATAAAAATAAATATTAATATTAAATAATGATGTGAAAATTTTTTTCTTTGGAATATTATAAATAAAAGACAACTTGAAACCACAATAAAATATAAATGTTTATTAAGTTCGTCATTCCGTTTGTAACTCATTGAAATAATATTTGTAGACCCAAAAAAGTATATTTATTCTAGATCAGCGTAAAATTCTAAGATGATTTAGCCCTGTCCATTTGTTATAATCAGGCTACAGTCAAAACGAGTAAATATAGGAAGCTAAAATTTGGCACAGGCCTGTCTTTTGTTTGCAGGCAGGTCGAATTCGATGATGGGATATATCGGACCACGATATCGAATAGCCCACATATTCGGTATTTTGATTATTTTAGCCACATTTTTAAAGGAAATTGTCTGAAATTCTACACAAGAAGATCCTCTATATAGGTCCACGATATCTTATATCACCATATAACGGTAGCCCCAGATATTCGGTATTTTGATGATTAACCACAATGGAATTGTCTGAAATTTCACACAAGAAGTTCAATGTGAGTACTTTACCCCCAGACATACATTTGTCTATATAGGTCAACAATATCGTATATCCCCCAAATATATCGGCACCTTACGATATTCGGTATTTGTAAGATTTTAATAGAATTTTTAATGGATTTAATTTTTTTTGAAAATTTCTTAATTCGTTCCAAATGGTGAACGGTATTCAAAGTTCGGCCTGGCCGAACTTACTGCTTTTTTATACCCTCCACCATACTATGGAGGGTATATTCATGTTGTCATTCCGTTTGTAACTCATCGAAATAATGATCTTAGACCCAACAAAGTATATAAATGCTAAGACGATTTAGCCATGTCCGTCTGTCTGTTGTAATCACGCTATCTTTCGAACGAATTGGGATAGGAGGCTAAAATTTTGCACACTTGTTAATTTTGCCAGTAGGCAGGTTAAGTTCGTAAATGGGTCATGTAGGTCCACGTTTTCATATAGCAGTACCTCCCTAGATATAACAGTACCTCTCTAGATTAGGTATTTTGATGATTTTAGTAACATTGTTCTCCGGAATTGTTTCAAATATTGCATTTAACGGTACCTCCCTTTATTCGGTATTTTTATGATTTTAGCGACATTATTTACCGGAATTGTTTCAAATTTGGCATTTGAAGTTCGAAATGGATACTAAAGCCTAAGACAAAAAATTGTGTGTGCAGGTACACGTCTTCGTATAGCCCCCGTATAACGGTTCCTCCCAATATTCGGTATTTTTTTGATCTTAGCGTCATTATTCATCGGAATTGTTTCAAGTTACGTATTTAGAGTTCGTAATGGGAACTACAGTCTGTGACAGAAAATTGTCTATACTGGCCCAGCTCTTCGTATAGGCCCCATATATCAGTACTTCCCTAAATTCGGTATTTAGACGAGTTTAGGTACAATACCCACCGAAATTGTTTGAGATGTCGTATACTCAATTTAGTACCACTTAGTACTTTTCGAACAATTATTGTACACATTTTCGAAACCCCTTTCCAAATCTCAAACTCAGATACCAGCAGTGACATCTATAGCAAATCTAAGGATTTTAGCCTTGCAATTTCCCAACATTGCCATTTTAAGAACCATTTGGTACAATTATAGTACAACTATCCAAAAGCAGGTCCTTCTCTTAAGCACAGACACCAACAGTGACATCAATATCAAGTTTCCGGATTTCTGTCATCCAATTTCAAATTCAGTACCATTTGGTATCTTTTGTGAAATTGTAGTACACATTACCAAAACCCCCACCATATCTTCATTCCAGAGACCCTTACATCAAATTTGAGGACTCCAGCCCTATCCTTTCATGAAATGCCAAACCAACGTCAAATCTGAAACACAGATGCCATCAGTAATCTAAATATTATATTTTAGATTTTTTATCTCTATTTCTTCAACAGATACAAAACTTAATGCCATTTAGTACTTTTCGTACGATTAGATTACGCATTTAAAATTTCGAGAGTTAAGCTTTATTCCCTCACCCAGTACAATGTTTAGTACTATGTAGTACTTTTCGTGTAATTATATTACACCAGCAGAGACCTCAATATCAAATTTGAGGAACCCAGCCCAAGTACCATTTTGATCTTTTCGTAATTTTTAGCTCTATCCCTTCACATAATACTAAATGGTACCATTTAAGAAGTTTAGTAGCATTTTGAAGCGTACGTTTAAAGACCGAATTTCCAAAAACTCTTTGGTACATCTATCTTGCACTCCATCAGTAACTCTCATTTCAAATTTATAAGTTCTAGCTCATTCCGTTTGTCCAATACAAAGTATTAAATGTTTAGTACATTTTTGTATTTTTTGAATCCTTTTAGTACGAATAGCAAAAAATCCAGTGCCATCAAAAAAAGCTGCCTATGTAAAGCTTCAAGATTCTAGAGGTTTCGTCCGGAGGTTGATTCTCAGTCATTTATTTCGGAATTCGGATTTCGCAATGGACATCATTTCCTTTGACAGAAAATTTCCTGTACAGATACACGTCTTAGTATAGCCTCAGTATTAGTATTTTAATGATTTTAGCTACATTTTCAACAGAACCGCCTTCTCTGGCATATGATTGGCTATAGGGACCCACGTTTTCGCATGGCTTCCATACAATGTTTCCTACTAATATTCGCTATTTTGATGATATTAGTCACACTTTCCGCCAGAATTATACCAAATTCGAAATTTGCAGTTCGTACTATGCCCTATTCCAAAAAAAAAGGTTCCTATATAGGTCTACATCTTCGTGTAGCCCCCTACAACGGTATTCTTCTAATTTTCGGCAGATAATGTGCTATAGAGGTCCACGCTTCTTAAACAACTTATTCCAATAAAATGGTCGTTAAAAACGCCTTCTGTTAAATTCACAATCTATTGCGTATGTATATACAGGGTGAGAGGACAAAACTGCAATCAATTTCAAACTCCTGTCACTTCAAAGCCACTCGTCCGACAGGTGTTAAAATTTTTCCAGTGACAGCTCATTATATATTTAATATATAATTTTCCAGAAAAAAAGTTATTCGTAATGGTATTTAAGCGTGATAGTTTAATTTCTTTATATATGGCTGGAAAACAACAAGTGGCTATCCTTAGAGCACTCCAGCATTTAAATGTGAATAAATCTTCTGTGTCTTGTACCATCGCTTGTTACTGGTAGCGTAGCCCGACTTCAAGTAAGAGGACGGATGAAAACAGCAACATCAGCAGAAATGGTTCGAAAAGTAAGAAGGGATTTGATCAAAACCCGCGTCTCAAAGAGGTCAGCTGAAAATGTGCACCTTCGGTTGGACACCAAAACTCAAGGCCCGGTCATGGTGATGGTGTGGGCCGCCGACCAGCCGATGGTCGCTCTCCGGTCGTATTAATCGACCGTGGCAATGGAATAAATGCCCAATATTATCGCGAAAATATTCTGGAGGGTGTATTAAAGCCTTGAGCACGCAAACATTTTGGCCCCAGACCTTGGACATTCCAACAGGACTCAGCACACGCCTTCATTTCCAGCGCACAATGGCCAATCCGTTAGACTATTGTGTCTGGAGTATTTTGGAAAGCAAGGTTGCCACTAATAAATACTAAAGTGTCGATCACCTCAAGCAAGCGCTTCGCCGGGAATGGGCCAAAATATCGAAGAGCAACATTCGAGCAGCGTGTGACGGTTTTTTTGGCCGTTTGAAGGTCATTATTCGTGGCAAAGGTGACCAATTCGAACAAATCTAAACTTATTCCGAAATTTGATGAAATTTCCGATATTTTTTGCTTTCATTCAATAAAATTAAAAAAAAATGTAAAAATTATGGCGTTTGACTTTGTTGCAGTTTTATACCCTACAACATTTTGTGTTGGGGGTATTATAAGTTTGATTGGGCCAGAAATTATGTAACACCTCGAAATATTGATTTCCCACATAGGAAAGTATATATGAATCTTCCTATCTCGCCGAGCTGAGTCGATCTAGCTATGTATGTCCGTCCGTCCGTCTGTCCATGTTGGTTTGTAATCACTCTACAGGTCGCAATTATGGCCCAATCTTTACGAAATTTAAAATGGAGGTGGGGATAAGGGGGTAAGGTCAGAATAGAACCCTATTTCTTTTGGAGATGATTGCATAATATTTAGGGGTTGAAATGGACCAAAAACTGAAAAATGTCCAGATTTTGCAGTTGCTCTACAGATCACAATTTTAGACCAATCGAAGCGAAAGCATGGGGCTAGAGCTTAAAGCTGAGCAGAAGCCTTCCAATTATGATGGTCATCGGGTAATATTTAGTGGGTGAAATAGGCCACAACATTTGTGTTAGAAAAAAGTCAAATTTTTCATTAAACCGCAAATATTTTTAATGCCGGCGAAATCACAAATAGACGAACAGGTCAATTCTGACCGTTATGTAGATGCCGACAGTAAAAATATCGGATATATATAGCGAAAAATATACAATGTATATATACAAAGGAAGGGGATTTTAGCTAGAATGCTTATATCTCCAGAATGGCTGGAGCGATTTTAACAAATTGTGTAAATTTAGAAAGCCCTTTTGACATAAAAGCGTAAAATCTAAAAAAAGATGCCAATAATGATGTTAATATAGATTTTGTTGTATTTTGCGACATTTTTTTTATTTTTTTTTCATATTTTTTATCGCATGCTATTTTTTCAATTTGATTTATAATATTGAAGTATATATTTTGTAATATTTTTGCACTTTACAACAC